GCAGTTAGAGTACAGCTTCCTGCACACTGACACAGGAAGGCTGACAGCTACACAGATTAGTAAAGTTAGTGAAAGCCACGCCTCCCCTCAAACAGAAACTGTACCTTGACTTGCTTCTTTTTAATGAGCGGTCGAACTTTTGCAAAATCATACAGCTCAACGTCTTCTTCCAGCCACATCTGCAAACAGACAAATGGAACAGCTAAAACAGACTGCTGGGGTTTAACTTGGGACTCATTAGCTGGAGGACAAAGAACAACTTGTTGACACATCCATAAGCTTAACGCTGAGTAAGCACACAGGGTTACTGAGGCCATCAGAGACGTAGCCACTGTTCCAGCATCGTCACAGCAGTCTGCTCTTATGTTTGTGGGCTAAACTGGGCTGGTAAGTTATTACAAACCCTCAATAACACAAGGAAGCACCAAGACATACATAGCATTTACATACTGGCGAGGAGTGAGCCGTGCCTTTGTGCCACACTGACAGGTTTGGAGTGATAGCACAAGATAGCACGAGCTGTAAGAAGGAGATCATGGTGAACAATACAGCGAGCACTGAATCTGTAGTCAAATCCTTGAATTGTAAATGGACTGCATTTACAGCAGTGACATTTCCCTCCTTATCAGGGCGTGATGTCAGCATCCTGTACTTTCTTTTCCCAAGGCTGGAGGATTTCACAGCATAAATAATCCACACAGGTTAACACGCTTAGATCTGACTGGATGCTGGCAGATTATTCTCCGCTCTTCTTTGCTGAGTTGTTCATTTGAAGTGGCTGGTTTGAAAGCTTCACTCTGATTTTTCTCCACGTGAAAACAAAACAAACCATGAAGAAAAGCTACAAGTTTCCAAAGTGATCAACTGATCTGAAGCAGAGAGCACACAGTGCAGGTGTGAGGACACACGCAGGTCCCTGGGCTGTGTCCTCTGATGGGGGGAGGCGGTCTGGGTCTTCATCCAGCTCATCTGAATAACTTAAACTGTTTGAACTGATGATCGTGGAAACTGCAACATGACACCTTCTGACCAGTACT